TAAAGCACGAAAAGTGCTTTGATTAATTGCCTCGGTCCCTGAGTACTAGAAGAATAAATTACCTCAATCTCAAAGTATTTAATACATTTATGGTAATTAATATATAATGATTATATTAAATTTATATAATTAATTAAATTAATTAATTAATATAACTAATTAAATCGATGTATTAAATAATTAATATAATAAACAAATAATTAAATTAATGCAATTATAAGTATTATAAAGTGATTAAAACATTGCAGTTCAATATGATGGCTGAATTTAGCTAACAAAAAAAAGTTAACTTCCAAAAAACTGTTTTATATTGAAATCGATTCATCCAGTCGATTTCATCATCGTTAGATATAATATTGTCATCCACACTTCTAAATAGGTTTCGTTTGGATCCTCGTCAGAATCTTGTTACTGACATTCGAATTTTTGCAGTATCTTCTTAGAAATAATAAATTATGATTTCCGTTCCATAAATGAAAAGAGAAAGTAAAGTGAAATCGAAGTAATAACAAAATCTGTTAATAGTAAGGTGAAGTCAGATTCGGCCCTGGATTGGAAGAAGCATCACTGTATACACCGAAAGCGGCTGTTGTTGTCAAAAATCTTCTGTACGCGGCGCACATATTGTCTGTTTATTTACTTTTCAGCGCGGCCCGCAACCAAGTTACACTTGCAAAAACACGAATATATGTATATACACAGAGTTGCACTTTACCAGAATGGGAAATATTTTTCAGCTAAAAAATATCTAATAGAGGGTTACATTCACATCGGTCCATCGACAAATGAGAATAAAATGAATAATAAAGTTTTAATCGCCGCGCCTGCGAATGCAATGCGAACAATTTATCAGATTTATCAGACGGAGGGAAATTGTTCGGGAGAGAGAATGTACAAAATGTATTTCGCTAACATTTTAATTTGTGAAAAGAGAAAGAAGAGAAAAAATTCGTAACGGAATCCACGGTTCGGTCGGGATAATATTAACTGGATAAATATTAATATGTAAATCTTTTTCGAGAGTGACTGCGTACGAGCGCACATCTGCATTTGAGCAAAACGCAAATTCACCATCCACAAATTTGCGTTTGCGTGAGAACGCGCGAAACGTTCACTTTTGCCTTTGACGCAAATGGGACGTGAATTGTGCTGCGCTAATGCCTAACGGGCATCACCAATAATCATCCCGACGAACGTATTAATCGATACCGCACGACATCCAACGGGTGACAACACCGTTATGTAATAACGATCCGCCATAATGCAAACATCAACACCAAATTATATCACAATAAATATCCTACTGCTTACCGCCATATCAGCATGTGATGTGAAATCTTATTCGTTGGCGAGTATATCGACGTACTCTATATCATAATTTCTTTGTCGCGTACGATGATGAAGTTAAAGCATCGTTAAATCATCGTTAAATTATTGTAAATCAGAAAATATTAACCTACGCGTGAATGCATTTCGACTTTAGTAATTATCATAATTATCACTATCACTGATTTCTCTTTACGCTAAAAAACCGAACATAATAAAGCATGCAATTATATTTAGCATGATTGCGTTTTTTTTTGCCAATGTCAATAAATCTTATAATTAATGCACAAATATATTACGATAATCATACAATGCGTATATAATTTTCACTGAAAGTCGGTTATATATTATTTATCGGAAGAAAGCGAGACATTTTGATGATATATACAGCTTGACACATGCAGAGATCAAAGGGATCATATAGAAACGCTTCCAGGACGTACTTGGGACGTCATTGACTACATCAAATGCTCGGAACGCGATAATCAATTTCCATCGGCGGTTCGTTAAAAATCAACTGTTTTCCGAGCCGACGACATTGTTGTACATAATGCTTTTAGTACGGTTTTAGTACGGTTCTCCAAGTGGCTACCTTGGACGGGAAACTCAATTTGCAAAATGAAATTCATGGTTGACCGATGATGATCGTCGAGAGATGGGAGACAATCAATCCGCTTGATACGGCACTACCCCGCGGGGTTAGATCACTATTGCTAGTGGCTGACCTCCGATTCAGCAGCACGTTGCGCGAATTAGTCCTTGGCGTTTGCTCGCAAAGGTATCGTCCAATCATGCGAGTGCATCGCGCGCCGCTGTGATATGCGTGGCTGAGCCGCCTAAATCGAGCTTTCCACCTTTCACTACCGTTTAATGGATGCGTCGGACATCATTCAAACCATTTGTCCTTTTGATCTCCACGTGGTAATAAAAACGATACGAATCTTATGCGAAGGATAATCTCTGAATAACTTTAAGATCTAAAAGAAGATTACGAAATTAAAAGATTTTGATCTAAATTATGTTATATTCAATCATATCCAGGATTAAAACTAGGATTCCCAATCAAGACAGAATTGTATGATACAAATGTAAATATTATTTGTTTATTCGAATATTTTTTACGAGTCGGGAGATTATTAATATTTATTATTAATATTTACATTGTGTATCGTGAGATTGCACAGTAAAAAATAAAATATAAATTTTAATTTTTTTTTTAATGTCCCAGAAAGTCCACTCTAAATTTTATGTCGAAATAATTCATTCGTCGTGTGTTACTTATTCAAAAATTGAAAACATTAATAAACTAACACATACTTTTTCTTTCAATACATGATATTAACTATTTTGACTTAAATTTTATTCGTAATAGTAATATTTTATATTAATTAAATTATCATATTCATTATGCCAAATATAACAAATGTTAACAAATTTTATTTCGTGCTAAAAAATTTTATTGATCACTTTTTTAAAT